CTTCCTGCTTCAACGCTCAGAGCAAGGCAGCTAGCTTTTGTGGTTTATTAGAGATAAAAAATCAAATACAAAAAGTATGGAAATAATTGTGCCAGTTATAGCATGCCCCATTTGTTGCATTGCTGACAGCTGATAAGCAACTTCTACTGTAACACTGCCAAATTATGTAGCATAACACTTGTCCACCCAGTAAAAATATTTGTAATTTTTTCTTCACTATAGTAGGTGTGGCGAGCTATGAAATTCAAATTAGTCGCAATTTTTATATAATACTAAAATGCAAGCGATAACGGCAGTAAAAACAACAATGAACAAAACTTAATAAATATGGTAAAAATACAATAACCCATAAACTATGGAGATAACTACTGAGAATAAAATATTGAAAACAAATTTTAAAAACTAAAAAATTGAAAAAATTAAATTAAAAGTATTAAAGTTGTTTAAAAAAATTATGAAAAAATTGTTTATTTTGTAAAAGATATATTAAAATAAACTTCATTTTTATTAGAGATAAATTATGCAGGAAAATAATGAAAAATAAAAATAATTGATCAAAAAGCAAATTTAGAAATTTAAAAATTGGAAAAGTAAAATATTTTAAAGTCAAAAAGATTGTAAAATTAAAAAAATCATATTAAGAACATTAGAAAATTTCAAAGAAAAAATAAAAAAACTAATAATTTATATAATTTGCATAGCTGTAGTTGCACTATTCTTTTGCCTTGCTTATTTAGAAAATCTAAACTAAAAAGTATGTAAGAAAATCTTTGTGGCAGTTTTCAATTTAATATTTTTTTATGAATCAACCAACTATATATGCTGTCATCATGTATATAACTAAGAAAAGTTAATACATATATATTCATTTCAAAACTACAACAACAATAAACTCTTGCCTAAAGGAAGTGAGTAAATATTTAATTGTTGATCAACGTCAATATGGCGACAGTTAACTGTATGACCAAAATGCGCAAACGTGTCAGTGCAACTCTGCATGCATGTTATATGAAAATTATTGCGTTTATATGGTGGCCTATCACTTTTATTACCTCGTGAAAATTGTGCATTATACTCCGTTTGCTATTTTTATTGTTGTTATTATTGCAATGTTGTAACCTAATTGGGCTGTATAGCTTGGCAGGTGTTGAGAATTAACATCGAATTTCCTGCAATAAGCATTGGAGGCTAGACCCAAATTTAGGTACATATGGACGGGAATATGAAGTCTACTGTGAGAACACTTTTACGTAGTCCAATTTCAAGTTTCATTGACTTGGAAAAGTTCTTTATGAAAGCTCTTTAGGTACCCTAAAGCAATTTAAAACTGTGGAGCCTACATTAGTAGGTAAAATTTACGACAATTTTATAGAAAACATGCGAATAAAAAGAACAGGTTGCCCGAGCAGTCAGAAAAGTTCAAAGCTTCAAATAATTGCAGTACTGCTTTGTGCTTTAAGTCTTGACTTTTCACTTATTTATCATAACCACGCTACTAAAATAACATTTTATAGAGTTGTCGGTGTGTTGTGCTTGTGTATGATGAGGTTTCCTTGAACACTTTAAGCTTTTTTTCCTGCTAAAGCTTGTTTCCATTTTTTATATGAAATTCTTATTAATTCTAGCTATTTATGATATTTTTTAATTAAACTAAAAGTTACAAAATTCAAAACGATGCGTACTAGTTTAATATTTTTTTGAAACTATTTAACCAAAGCGGCATCTTGTGGCTATATCTCATATATTAATTTATATAATATTCTTTTTTTGCAATTTGCATGAGTAGAGCCTAAAATTATAGAAAAAAGTCTTGTGAAAAAAATCCTCTACAATGTTGGCCCAGTCACAATAGTTTATGCAACGTATGAAAATTTGAAGAGAAAAGTAGTCTAACGGCATTGTCGCTAGCTGTCACTATTACAACATTTGTTGTTGTTGTTTTGGTTACCAACTAGTTTAGTCGCCTGTTTATTTATTATACGGTGTAATTACACTTGAAATATGTGAAAAGCGGTAATGGATGATGCAAGTTTACGTGCCGCTATGCTTTGTACGAAAAGTTCAACAAAGCCTATAAGCCAAAAAAAGCTTTAATTTATAAACTTACATGCATAAAAAAATACATCTTTGCAATGATATAAAAGAAAACGCATGAAAGGCAATAAAATTGTGCAATAAAAGTAAGGGGAAAAAGTGAAAGATGCTGCAACAGATATGTGCAACACAAACACGATCGCGTTAGTGGCGCATCCACGGTAATTCGTCAGCGATTTTAGTTGCGCCGCGCTGCAGTGGCAATCGGCGCATTGTTGTTGCAACAATGCCATCATTTTTACGAAGCATATAAATAAACACGGTTCATGTTATCAAAAGCGTGTCAGCGTCAGTCAGTTGAGTTTTGCATTTACAACTTGATTTTGAAATTAGCTTTTTCCGGCGTCATCGCTGAGTTATTATCTTTCTTTCTTTCTACTGTTATTGCTACTCTCTCTACGCAATCGTAAGCTGTTGTTATGCAATCGCTGCTTACTTCTTAGTTATTATTGTTGTTGTGTTTATTGTTATTGCTGCTCGCTTGTATCGTAAATTGCACACAAGCTATTGCAGTATCGATATTTTATGGTTTTTGTTTTTTTGGTTTGTTTTATTGCAGGAAAAAATGTTTGATCTTACTAGCGGGTGGATTTCTTTATTTCTTTGCGCAATTATTACTTTTCTGAAGTTGGCTAAAATTATGAAATCAGTACAGTATTAATAATATTTTTTGTTTTTTCGAAAATATATATGTACATATACAAAGTATATAACATATTGTACATGTATATATGATTGATTGATTAATTTTGAGGTATGCACCGCGACCTACGGTCTATTGTGCCCTCCCCTAAGTCATATCGTGTCATCTAGGCCCAGCATATTGATAAATTCCAAAATTCTGCTGGGTGCTAGTGAGGCGATACAATCCCTGTATGTATATATGATACATGCTTATACTAAATTTTGAATGAAATTTTTATGTTAAATGTTGAATACATTTGGGTTTTAACTTTTCCTTTGTTTTATCAAATTATATTAAGTCTTCCACGAAGTTTGTTTGTTTGTTCGTCAGAGACCCAAAAAAATATACATACATGTGTATATAAATGATCAGCATGTCGAGCTTAGTCGATTTATAAATGACTGTCTGTGTGTTCATATGTTTATCTGTATATATGTGAACTAATATTTCAGTTTTTCAGATATCGATCTGAAATTTTACACCTGTCCTTTTCTCCTTTTCTTCCGAAAAAGCTGCTCATTTGTCGGTACCGCCGATATCGGACCACTATAGCATATAGCTGCCATACAAACTGAACGATCAAAATCAAGTTCTTGTAAGGAACATTTTATATTTTTGAACCAATATATATTGAATTATAATAACTTCGAAGCAACCGAAGTTAACGTTTTTTCCTGTTTTTTTTTTTGTGTTGATTTTGTGTAATTTTAGTTTGGGAAACCAAAATTTATAATTAAAGAATTGAATTTAATTTAATTATTTGAGCATAATAGTAATAAGAAATATAATAAAAAAATATAATTTAAGAACAAAAATATGAAACTTCCTTCAAAAATTTTTTTTTTAATTTGTATAAAACTTTAACATAAATATAACTTTATAAAACCAAAGCCCCGTTGAGAAATTTTCGTGCTTCCTATAAAATTTTATTGGTTGTTGTTCCCCACTAAAAAAATAAGATAACGGCAAAACTTTAATATTTATTTTTGAAGAAGACCAAATACACTATTCCACTCAACTCCCAACAAGTCAGCAACTCATCACACAACCAATTTGTCGCTGCCACAGCCAATCATTATCCGTATGGCAAAGACTTACATGCTTCCTTCTATAATGGATGCCACAGCCACTTGACATGCAACACGAGAAAATGTCAAAAGGCACCCATGAAATGGGGATATTATAAAACAACAACAACAAAAAAAAGCTTGCGAGTTACAAGCAAATGTTGCATGTTGTACGCTGTTAAACAGCATGCATATGCTGTGAAGTATAATCAAAAATGCAAACTAGCCGCGAAGAAGCCACAGTAACAGCAATAAAGGTCAACAACTATCCAAAGTGTTTGGCTAATGGCGCCTGTTGCTGGTTGGTAGTCGCTTTGAAGGGGGTGTAAAATTGTAGTTAGTATTGTTAATAAATACAAATGGCGATAAATTATATATATTTAATAAATTGTATGCTTGAGAGGCATATGCGAGTAACTAACTTAGTAATTGCTGATTTCAACAGCGCATTTAGACTAGATTAATGGATGGTGTATTTAACTTAAGTGCTTAGCTCTCTCTAAATAAATATTAAAAAAAAGTAGCCATAATGCATTTTTGTAGAGTTAAAATTAAAATAAAAGATTTAGGAAGCCGATTTGACTTTAATATTTATGTAAATTTTAATGACACCGCAATTCTGAGTTTTCTCTTGAAGCTTTCGAAAATCATGCCGAAACGCTTGTCAACCATGCTTTTGTAACAGCTTTGAAAGAATAATAAACCCATATTGAATATGAACCGTTCGAGATAGCAGCTTAATTGAGTCAATTTGTAAATTAACTACGTGCACAAACAGTTTGCTAATTGCCTCAATAAAGAAGAAGAACAGGTGGTAATGTGTCAGCTAATTCAAACAGTCTCTTATTTGAGCCAATTAGTAAATTTTAAACATACGGGAAGTACAATGTACTATAACATATGTATTAGCCATTTCAGATAGCTGGCTCCTTAATGGAGTCTATTAGTAAACTGTCTATAAACGTGAACAAAATACTAATTCAGTCAATTAAGAAGCGGTGAAGCACTTGTATAAACATAACTATAAAGAAAAATTTTGTATTTGAGGTATACTAAGTGAAGCCTCCATTTATGTAACTCTATTTTCATCAAAAACATTTTAGCTTACTTCGAGTGCCATATATCAAAAAAAAAAATTAATATAAAAAAAAAATAAAAAAACGAAAAATTTACTATTTTGTTTACAGTTTTGAAATTAACATTTTCACTATAAAAAGTGCGTTTAGAAGGTCAACTAAGATAGCAACGACCAAAAGAAATAATTACAGTAGCACAAAAGCCAGCGGGCGCAGACCAATTAGCTCAAAGGCAAGCGATGATTAATGTGAGAAAACTGGAAAATAGTAAATATAAAAATGATATGCAATAATAATAATAGTGTTAATTGTGCGTTTTAATAGGTATGAAGAAGGTGCAGTTAAAAAACCAAAACAATTAAAGGTAAAACAGTGGCAAATATTAGTATGGGTATCCTCATAACATTCCACCAACTAGCAACACCCTAAAATTGCAAACAAACGTGTTATTCAACTGTTATGTGTTGTTATGAGTTTGAATGGGGTTAATGAAGATGCTGCTAGGCGAAGTTGAAGTTGCCACACTTGAAATATTGGGCGAGTGTTTGTTGTAAGTAATCACTTTTTAATTATTAATTTGTATTATGAATAATTAGTAAATGCCTTTGCGCCTTCAAAGACCTGAGATATGCAAATAACCTGCGCTGTACCAGAGACGTGTTGTTCATCAGCGTAGTGAATCTAATAATTGAAATTTTGTACGATTTTATTATACATGCACATTTGAAATTTATAATTTTTTTTATAGACATACGAAACTTACCGAAAAAAATATAACAATTTTTTTTTTATCGGCTGCTTTACTGCTGTTTAGCTAATTTTAATTTTTTACTAACGACTGCGTGTCTTTCATTGGCACGTAATTAACCTTTTGCTATTGTTCGCACGCACTCAGGAGCTTTTCTATTTTATTAAACGCGTGAATTTCTTGTTTTCAATCGATAGAAAATTTGCACACTTTTCGTATACAATTTACATATAATTACTTGCGTTTGAGTGGCATTTTTGTACGCCTGCTAATTATCGTTAGTGCCGAATTTTAGCCAGCAATGGTTTGAGCAACGAACTTGCTTGGTAATGTTGCCAATTTTTTTATTGGAAACTATTTATGCCGCGTGATTAGTTATGCGAGTGTTTTATTGATGCTTTTTTATTTGATTGGCCCTCAACTCATGAATTTGTTTACATAAAAGGTATAAAATATATATATATATATGGTATTTGTAAACAGTCTTTTCTGTTGGTTTTTTGGCTTTCGAAATTTTAATGGGTGTTTTTAGGTTTTTCAAATTCCGTTGTTAAATTTTTTATTACTAAAAGTTTAAATTGTTACAATCGATACACTTTACAAGTAACTTTGCGAAAACTTATTTTATATATATTTAAAAAATATTTATTATTTAAGTTTTTTATTGCAAATATTTTATATTTGTTCAAAATCTTATATTTCTCATATGAAAATTAGATTAAAATTAAAAGTTAAAAATCGGAATTTAAAATTAAAAATTAGAAATAAGAGATTAAATTCAGCTTCTAATTTAATTTTACGTTTCTGAATTTTAGAAATTAAGTTTTAATATGTAATTTTTTAGATTTTTTCATTAATATTCGTTGAAATGCATTATTTATGCAGGTGATCAGTTAGCATTCTTTTATAAAAAAACTGCATTGCTCCTCAGTAAATTATTCAATTGAGCAACTTGGTTTTATTTTTTTACTCAACCTGATGTAGTCTTTTTTCATATATTGCTACTTGTCGATGCTTCTGCATTTGTTGCATGCATCTTCATAAAATTTATATTGCCTCAAAACGTGAAAAATTAAATTGACCTCAAAACTCTTGGCTTATTATAGCCAAATGTTGACTTGAGGGGAAGAGTAACGAGTAACCTCTTGCAACAATGTTTTTGAAGACTTATTTTTGGGCACAACTGCATATTTGAAAATTAATAGAATTTTAGTCTTCTTCACATCAGAACTCAGTAGAATTTTTTTGTTGTTATTTTTGAGATTTGTGTACCAGTAAAATATTCGTATAATTTTGTTACCAATTTTCAAAAATTTTTGCTGCCAAAACCGTAGTCTTAAGCAACAACGACGACAACCAAGGCGACAAGCTTTGGTGCAAGCGATCTTTGCAACCCAGCAATGACGCTGCTGCAAACACTTTAGTGTTAATAACTCCAGCGAGTTCAGGCTTCCTGCTTACGAGTGCCGTCAGTATTAAGGCTATTTTGATTCAATTTCAGCATTTTATCGTTTCATTTTTTTAAATTAAAATTGTTTTGTAAATTTATTTTTAGTTTTCGAAGTCGTGCAACAACACTGAATTACACTGCACCACTTTCGGTGCACTACAAGTGTATGGCGGCGTGCTTTTTAACGTTCTTTTGCTGTGCGTCGTCGGAGCGGCGTCAGATTGCCTTGTGTGTTGCATAATCATAATCGCACATGTGTGTATGTATGGCATGTGCAACATAGCGTCGCCGGCATAGTGGCACACAAAACGCGTGTTATTGTTTACTACACACACACGCATTTGCAGTAAATTTTTTAACTTTTAATACTTTTGAAATTTTTTTCCAAATTTTTTGCTACACACTTTGGTTGTTAATATAACAGCACTCGCGTGTTTTTACATACAACATTTACAACGTTTGCGAATTAAGTTGTCGTTAAATGTGTAGTGGCATGTGGCGGCAGCAGCAGCTGTTATTACATCGCATACGTTGCTTTGCTGCTGCTCAACATAGATTTTTCTGTTGCTAGGTTAGTCGGCCGTGCGGCGTGTCTTGCTCTCCTAGCCACCAATGCGTTGCTGCGCAGGCGAGCATGATTAGATTGCGTGCAACATGTGCGTGGTAAATTTTTACTCTAATAACATTACTTTGGTTTTTGTTGTTATTGTACTTTTCATAATTTTGGTCATAATGGTTTTATTTGATTTCGAGACACTGGAGAACAGATTTTTAGTGAAAGAATTAGAAAACTTTACAAAAATATTTATTTTATTATTAATTATAGCAGCTATAAAATGCTTACTAAAAATATATTAAAATAATATTTAATCAATATTTTTATCTTTTTGTCGTAAATGAAAGACAAGAAAATATTTTGTGGTTGAAATTAAAATAATTTTTTTTGGATTTCATTTGAATTGTAAAACTGTAGCATAAAGGAAATTTGAGAAAACTTTTTATTAGAAAAATTATTTAAAAAAAAAGAACAAACGTTAACGTCCGACGTTTCCTTCTTGGTGTTACAAACTTCGTGGCAAACTTAATATACCCTGTTCAGGGCATAAAAATCAAAAAGATTTTGGATAGATTCTTTTGAATTTCCTAAACAAACAGTTGATTTTTAAATTTAAAATAAATAAAATTTAAATGAAAAGTAATCAGGTTTGTACGTCATATTTGTAAAAAAAGGATAGGATGCCGAATGTTATAATAAATGCAATCCAGTTCGTTGCTTAAGTCTTTTGTAGTTTCTATGAAGAGAAGTTTCCAAGAAACTTTTAAAATACATTTTTAACTTCTTTTAGACGCTTTAAGATTAATTATTATCACAAATTAAATGCTTCAAAGCAATTTTGTATTTACTTAATATTATAATATTTACATAATTTTGTATTTTGTTTTCAAAGTTTCAGGTTTTACTTGCCTAATGCAAACTATTAAAATATATAAACATTAGAAAAAAATATTACTTATGCACGGTTTAAGTTGAAAATAAACAGTTTGTTTACATTAGAGAATTTTTAGGGCAAAAAATTTAACTAAAAAGGCCGTGTGCAAAAATAAAAAAAAAAATTACTTGGTGAGTAACGGAGAGCCTAATATATGTACATATCGCAATATAAATACCCATCTGAATTTGAAAAGTAATCAACATAAGTTTGCAGCTCAGAACTCATATAAATTTTAATTTCACAAAGAAACGCGTTCGTTTAAAACATTTAAGTATTCAGATCACAATAGAAATTTTCCCACAAAACTTTAAAAACATGTAAATCACACTTAGTGCGCTATTGCTTTGCATGCAAGGCAACCTCAAGCAGCGTTTACTGGCTCTTAACACATACACATACGCACTTGCCTGGGGAGTTTTTTCGTACACTTCGCTATTAAAGTGTGTGATTTAATTGCTGGCATTATAAACAGTCTTTTTTTATTGGAAGAGTGAGAGAAAACCACTTGCCTTACAAGTGCGTCATTTGCATATTTATCTGCAAAGGCTAATATATCAGCTGTTTTATGTAAATATTTATGTTTGTATGTGCATAAATAGTTGTTGTGGCTAATTTGTAGTGTAGTGAATTAAGTAATGCATAAAGTAAAATGGCTGAACTACACACTTCTTTAAGTGTTAAATTAAAAACTAATCAATTAAAAGTAGCAAATTAATATTTGCAAATGAAGGTGTAAGTCGTGAAGTAGTTGCTGGTATGGTGCTGCATTTGCAAGAATAAATTTCGAACGAATTTTTTATAGTTTTTTATTTAAGTAATTCATACGTTTCTATATAAGTTTTCTGTAATTTTAAGAATGAAATTATTTCCATAAAATAATAAGTAATTTTATATAATATTCCAGTTTTTTATTTGTAAATATTTGAACTTAATTAATAGAAACAAAACTCGCGTAAAAAAGTTTTTTAATTGAAAACATTGCTATGATAGATTAAACAGATAAATTAAATCAAAGCTATGCAAATTTTTGTTAAAATTATTGTAATCAATTAATTTTGTTTTAAGAAAAAATTTAAAATTTCTGTTATTTTGAAAATCGAGTTTTTATATATTTTTGAAATTAATTTTAAGAATTTGAAATATTGCATTTGAACATATTTAAAAACTTTTTCCAATATTAAACGTTTTATTTCCAAATTTCAAATTTTATTTTTAATTTAATGGAATCTTTGAGCTCAATTTTCACCGGTTTCCAGAAGTCTGATCATTTTGAGACTTTGTAGACGTGTCAAGGACCGATAACAATGCAATAATTTGATAACAGTTTCCCATTATTTTAAGGGTGGGCGTAATCGCTAAAGCTAACTTAACCAAATTTGCTGAGAGGAAGTCCTTTTTCATACGCTGTGAAAAAGGGGAAAATCAGATAATAAAATTTCACAACCATGATTGTAGGGAAGAGCTTTATAGGGAGAGGTGTAAAAGTTCCTTTAAAGCGTTTTTTTTAGTTTTTTAAACTATTATTTACTTAAATTTTTATTTATTTTTATTCAATTTCTTTGCGATATTGTTTCAGTGACAAAGCATATTTTTACTAAATACTTTCATTTCTTTACATTTTCTGTTCAAGTTTGTTACTTTAGTCTTTTGTTGTTTCCGGGAAATTATTTTGCATGCAATTTTCAACTTTTACTGAACTTTACTGAATTTCCGTTGATCACGTTTTTCAAACAACAAAGTAGCGTCCCCTTCTTCTTACTGTAAGATATGAAATATCTTTAAATACAAGCAAGAGTCATAGTGCTTAGCGCCACGTGACTTTAGAGCACATAAAAGTTGCCCTGCTGCTCGAAACCATTTTTTGCCCACAAATGTATGTAAATGTATTGATTTCAGTCACAAACACTTGCACTTGAAATTTTATTATAATTACTTTATTGATTTCAGCAAATTTAATAGTCATTAATCTTGCTTCGCGCTGCTCAAATAATTACATTTGTTCTCAGGCATGCGATTCTTGGATTAAGCGCTGCTTGGTAAGCTTGTAGCATTATAGCTTGAAGATGTTCACTTTCAATTTCAATAGGGTTTCTCATAGCCACCATCTTCTTTGCAAATATCAAGGCCATCAACTAGCAGCCGTCATAAAGACAAGCTTAGACAACAACACAATTACAAATACAACTGAATTATGTTTATACCCAACTGATATGACAGCTGGTGTTGATTGCAACAGCCAAGAACTGACAAAATGCCATCATCTATTCGCTAACTGCTTGTTTGTTTTTTTGCTTGGCACTAGGTAGCAAGTCTACGAAATGAGTGGTGCGAAGATGTCAGCCAGCAAGCGGCATTATTTACTTGTTTTGGCATGCAATACGCAACTAAGCAGAAGAAGAAGAATAAGAAACAGAAATATGCAAATCGGGTTTTAAGTGATGGACAATAGAAACGTTGCCGCTGACTGAAGTGCTTGCAGGCTGATTTGATTGCTATTTTATTTTAATTCGCCTGATTTGCATGCCGAAATACTCGGTGGAGTTATTTTATGGCTGTATCTGCAAATATTGGCTTTGGGCTTAGCAGTAAACCTCAAATTTAGCTTTTACGAGCAGTATATTCTTAATTCAAAATTCGAAATAAAGGAAAATATTGTATAATATTATAATTGTAAAACTTACTATAGCTTTAATTTTTCTTATTGCAGAATATTTCTAGTGTTAAAATAAAAGCTAAATCGTAGAATATTGGCTTTAAGGTACAATAATGCCCACAGTAATTGAAATTTCAAATATTTTTTCAAAATTTAACAGTGTAAAAAATATTTATGATATTACATCTAAGATGTTTGATTTGAATTTTTTAACTTTTTTAAAATTTAACTTTTTGATTAAAACGGATATATGTATATATATTTATTTAACTAGTTTTTTACATTCTATATACCTTACATTTATAAAACGCCATGTAAACAATTTAAATTAACTCAGAAAAAAATTTTGAAAATCTTATTTCAAAACGAATAATTTTTCTTTCACCAAAAATATATTAATCTGTGTTAATGATTTCTATAGAAATAGTCCCTTTTCTAAATTCAATATTTTAGGTAGTAAAAATTATTACTTCTTGTTCACTATGTAATTATGTAGTTGATTATAAGGTTTAAGAAATATTTTTTATATGAAACAAATTTTTCCCAAATCTGAGTTTTTTAAATGTTATTAAAATTTTCTTTCCATATTTTTCACAAAAATAACAGAAGATTTATACAAAAAACTTGGGTTGCAAATTGTGCAAAGTATTAATTAAGCAAATTTTATTAAAAATCTTAAATGTTGAAGAGAAGCAACATAAACAACTTGAATTCGATTTTGTCTGTGGCAATATAACACGAGTTTATGTTGCAACATAAAGGTAGTCTCAAGAAAATGAGTACATTAAATCAATTTCAAAATCGGTTTAAAGCATGTAAAGCTCACCATGTGAAGCACAGTTGTTATCGCTGTTGCAGTATTTCATATTTGATATATGCATTAAAAACCTAACAAAGCACATAAAGTATTACTAATTCATAAGTGTACTCATTAATTTTGTGGTGAAATGTTGAAAAAAAGTGGAGAGCAAAAACTTGTTAGGTTGTTCAAATATACATACATAGGCTTACTTAGGGTGGGTATGTTTAGGATTTTAAATACTTGAATTTTCAATAAAAAATATAAAAAACTAAGAATATTTGTAAATTTTTTTTCTGACTTCAGTTAAAATAATTATATAATTTTATTTAATACATTTATTTTAAAATATTTTTTTTGTCAATATTAGACTTTAATTTTTTTATTTTTGTTTAATTACCTTAGAATATACTAAAAAAATATAAATTTTTAGTTAAAAACTTTAAGTACATTTTTTAGATATGTATTTTTATAAAAACTAATTTTATGAAATATAATTTTTTTTTCGAAAATATTCAAAATTTTGTATATTAAATTTTTTCTGTTTTTTTTCTTTCAAATTTCAAAACTTTAAACCCTTCTTCAGCGTCAATTTCAATCTGACAATCGCTAATTATCCCATAACTGGTAAGGCCAACTATGCCAGCTACTAATTTCCTATTACTCGAATGTATGTAACATTTTTGAAGTCAGTGTAGCGTAAAGGTCGCCTGCACGCAATGACTGGTGATTGCCACATGTTACGCGCTGCGGCACACGTATGCGTGAGCCCTTGAAGTGCGCCATGCAGTGAGTGTGGTTGTGGCGAGTAATAAACAAAAATGAAATAAGTTGCAAGTTAGTTTAAGTCCAATTTTATAAAACTATTATATATGACTGATTTAGAACTTTTATACAGAACTTGTGTGTTGCCTGGGACGTATGAGTAACGTTTTTTTATGAATAGATGTGAAACGAATGTAGAAATAAAAAAATTAAAAAAAGTTATTGTGCTATGGCACCAACAAAAATAAATGTGTTATAACAATTTTGAAAAGGGTTGCAACAATTGAAAACTTTTTTTTTTAAAAGGTAACATTAAACATTTTTTATCGGACTACTATAGCGTATAGCTGCCATACAAACTGACCGACCAAAAACAAAACAAACATCTTTTTATACCCTTTTAGGCTATATGACATTCACCCGTGAAAGGTATTATAGCTTCGGTGCAGCCGAAGTTAACATTTTTCTTGTTTTTAATTATTTACAATGCAAATATGTGTTTTAATTTCCCATTTTTAAATTTCCATTGTTCGCGAGTATTTATTAAATATTGCACACTTAATAAAGCGGCGCACAGCCACACCTTTTGGCTTCATTTCCTATTTCATTTGCTAAATGGATTTATGTGTTTTTACAAAATAAACTTATCACAGCAATTTATGGAAAATAAAGCTTTCAATAGTTTGCATTAATGGATTTATTTGAGTCATTTCCATTTTTGCTTTAATTTTATTATACCCGTTTCGCTGCGTTGGAATGTTTGTGGTGTGTGTGCAACACGTTTTGATCGGTGCTAAGGTCTCATAAATTCACATGGTCCGGCACGTGCGTAGCGCTATTACGGTATACGGAATAAAACAGAACTTATAAACTAAAGCAAAGCGTTTAATTACACGATTAGAATGTCTAACTTGGATTTCTTTATGCAAATGGCGTTGAATACTAGAAGCTGATAAGCTAGTAAGAATAAAAGCAGCCAAAGTGAGTATTATGAGTGATTAGCAGGTGGCTGGTGAAGGGTCAAAGTTAATGAAACAGAAATGCGGTTGTCGAGAGGAAAAGTGAATGAAATTGTATTTTATTGAAACAAAGAAGGACCACTCCTAATGGAAAGAAAATTTACGAACTCCCCAAAAATTCTTCTTATCTTATATTCTTACATCTTATATCTTATATCTTATATCTTATATCTTATATCTTATATCTTATATCT